CTCAGGCTGGTCTCGAACTCCTGACCTTGAGCGATCCACCCGCCTCGGCCTCCCAGAGTGCTAGGATTACAGGTGTGAGCCACCGCGCCCGGCCACTAGAGCCCAGATTTTTAAAAATCTCTTAAATTAACAATGGTTAAGGAAGGATATGGGAGATACAGGAATGTAGTGCTTGGTAGGAGATTTTTCACTGTGTATCCTCTCTGACTTTTGAAAATTTAATAATATGAATATATTACCTAGTCAATGTATTTATTACTATTATTTTTTTTAGAGACAGGGTCTCACTCTTTTGCCCAGGTTGGAGTGCAGTGGCATTATCATAGTTCACTGTGGCCTTGGTCAAACTCCTGGGCTTGAATGATCCTCTTGCCTCAGCTTCCTGAGTAGCTAGGACTACAGACACACCACCACGCCTGACTAATTTTTTAAATTTTTTGTAGAGATGGGGGTCTCATTATGTTGGCCAGGCTGGTCTTGAACTCTTGGCCTCATGCTATCCTCCTGCCTCAGTCTCCCAAATTGCTGGGATTATAGGCATGAGCCAACACTCCTGGCTATATTATCTATTCAAAAAACAAATATTTTTAAAGTTGTAAGAAAATTGTACAATAATTCAAACCAATTTTGTATTATTTATATCCATTTATTCATTCAAACATTTACTAGAGGGTTGGCAAACTTGTGACTCCGAGGTTATTACTCCTCTCTCTCACCCTTAAAAGATGTAGCTCACTGATTACAGCACTCTTCCCATTGACCTTGACTTTGTTAACACTCTGCTCCTTCAACCACCACCAGTTAGAGATGGTAGTGGAGCTGAAGACTATTTGCTATTCTTGGCTACTATGTGCTGGGCCTTGTGCTGGGAGGGTGGACAAGAAAGTCATCTCCTGAATCTTTCTTGGCTTTAAGATTCTATGACAGAACTTATTTCAGTTCATTCATTTGCTTTCGCTTACATGTTAGCCTCACTATATCACATACATAAGGCTTCCTAGGAACTTCCCTAGTTCCCAAACTTCTAGGATGCTATCCAAAA